TGGAATAAAAGGGAACGAGATGGCGGATTTCCACGCAAAGGCCGCATTAGTAAAGAAAATAGAAGTCAATAATAATCTAAATATGTCAGAAATGAAAAGCTTAATTACTACAAGTTCCAAACTCCTTTGGCAAGAAAGGTGGAACAAAACCAACTCGTATTTGAAAACATATCAAAAAGATGTTAATAAACCATATATATGTTCATTAGAGAGACAACATTCAACAATTATTCACCGACTCCGCTTTGGAGTCCTTGGACTTAACCAGGATCTCCTCAGATTAGGAATTCATGCTACTGGTTTCTGTAATAGATGCCCCAGTGAAATAGAGACTGTAAAACATTTTTTAGTACATTGCCCTAACTATATTATAGAAAGGGCTATGTTTTTAACAGAAATTAACGAATCCCAACCGGAAAAAATTATGGAATACTTAAAAAAGAGTGAGTCTAATATACAAAAAGCTATTGTACGGTTCTTCCTCAGAACGAAACGGTTCCCTATCAGGAAGTAATACCTCCCTTGATGAACAGTAAAATATAATACAATATTATAAATATGCTAAATTACACTCAGTACATTAAAAATATAATAACATAATGTAATAAGAAAATAAAATAAGAACAGTAAAACATAATACAATATTATAAATATGTTAAATTACACTCAGTACATTAAAAATATAATAACATAATGTAATAAGAAAATAAAATAAGAATAGTAAAACATTATACAATATTATAATATGCTAAATTACACTCAGTACATTAAAAATATAATAACATAATGTAATAAGAAAATAAAATAAGAACAGTAAAACATAATACAATATTATAAATATGTTAAATTACACTCAGTACAATAAAAATATAATAACATAATGTATTAAGAAAATAAAATAAGAAAAAGTAACAACAATGATAAAAGGTATGATAAGATTACTGAATATAGAAGCTTGTGTAGGTGCTATCTTATGTATGGTGTGTATGTGATATAACAAATAATCTGCACGTACTGTTAAGAAACACTAACAAAGCCCATGAATGTTTTGCTTACGATATTATTTTACGATACTATCTTAAAAGATAGATAAATATAAAACGAAATAAATATATATTTTTTTTTAAAATCCAAAATTGAGAGATATAACACGTGCCGTAAAGTATTTTGGCGACAATAGTCAAATCACTGACTAATCGCCAATAACTCAAAACACAACAACAACAACATTATACCTAAGTAATAACAATTATGAACTTCTACGGGCATGGGTTACGTATTTATGTAGCCTCCGGGATCATGAATGAAACTACACTCTGTTTGGTTATCGGGAGAAACTCGGTACATTGTTGCTAATAAAAACATTATAACAAAAAATAAACCATTGAATTTGTTTATCGTGTCAGTACGTGCTCTCTGTGCGGTAACACAAGGACAAAGGAAAAGTTGTATTTATTTATTTATCTAAATCACCTATTTACACAGAGTAGCCTGTTTAGCTAGCGAACAATTACCCGCAAAAGATTTAAATGTAAGCCATAGAATACATAAAAAAAAAGATTAATAATACAAGTAAATGTACGAAACACATATAAGAAAGATATCTTCCACTGAGCTTTTCTACACTATTTAAAAAAAAGGATACATAAAAATGACGTATAAAACGTTGATGTATGATGGTCAAACCAGAGGAGTGAAGTTTCATGGCAAAAATTTACTCATATTTTTTTAAGCATCATGCTGCAGCATCCACAAAATGTGTGCATAAATATGATTATTTCTAAAGTGTTTTATGATAAATTCCTATCCTGATTATTATTATTTTATTCATTATTTTTTTATATTATTATCATTTTTTTAATTTATTTATTTATTTATTTTTTATTTTATTTTATTATTATTATTATTATTATTATTATTATTATTATTATTATTATTATTATTATTATTATTATTATTATTATTATTTTTTTTTTCGGGGGGGGGGGGGAGTATAGAATAAATGGGCAGAAAATGCCGAAGGTGGGGCGCTCTCTGCAGTTTTTAAATTTATTTGATTAAGTAATATTTGTCTGCTTTATGGTATTTTCACAATTATTTGCTACATTACAGCATCTTTTTAAATAAATTCATCTTCGATCTTCCTAATTATTGGATCACTTGAGTAATGACCCTGAAAACAAATCCATGAGTTGCACGTCAGGGTGGTGCACAACCAAGACGGTGGTAGTGCACGATCACTGCTGCTTTCGAAAAATTAAACATGGCAATTTCAATATCCTTGTCCGTCAACGTCAGAAATGCGCTAACGTTATAATGACGCATTACTTAACCCGAACATTATTTCTATAGGATACACAATGGGATATTTTCTCGAGTTGATTTGATTTTTCGAAAGAAGTTGCGATCGTGTTAAAAAAAAACACGTATTATTACTTATTACTGATCAGACTGAATAACATCAATCCGTCTTGAATTGTCAAAAGATGGAACATATTCCAAGTTTAAAAAGGAAAACTAAGTACATACAAGCATTCACAGTAGCAGTGATGTAGTTGATCCTAATAATCGAGGGGACTACAGTGATGATAAATATAGTCAGGGTAAAAAACTTGAGCTATTTGGCCTGTAATGGGCTTTTCAATCGGAAATGTTTGTTGATAATTATGTAGGCAAGCCACTCGAATATTTTTTTTGTAGTGTTCTCCGGAAATGATTCCCTATGCAATGATGATATGTTCAGCGCTATTAATACAGTGGCAATTTAAAGGGGGCGAGGCACAACCGGCAGATGCACACACACTTTTGAAACTACATGTACATACCTTCAGTACACAAATTCCAAAAATGCCCCCTCGTCCTTTTCGAGTTTATGACCGTTTCCCCCCTCTTTAAAACTTTTTTGCCCGATGTTGTGTGAACATTACCAATACAGTGAACCATTATTATGTCATAAATGCTACAACTTTTTCCCGAGATGATAGGGTTATTCTCAAGAAAACCTACATTGAATTGTCTTAAAGGTAATAAAGACCAGTTTTGGAAATCCCCCCCCCCCTCTCAAAAAGTTTTTTAGCCAAAAACCACAGCCGGGAAACCCCCTTCTAATTGGTATATTTGGTAAATTATTATATCTATCCGGACTGGATAGATATAAGGTAGTCCCATATGCATCTTTCTGTGTACAGTGCTTGTAACGTTACCAAGACTGGGCCAAATTTCTTATCATGTTGATGATTCCAGAACCTTGCAGTACACACCAATAATTATATGCTAGATGATCAACCTTTTCTTATCGATTCCACAATATTTCTTTCACAATGCAATCGCATGATTAGAACTGGTCTATACCTTTAAGACTAGCCTAATTGAATCGTTTTAATAACAAATGGAAAAGCTGATTTACTCAAATCTACAAAACGTTTGCTTCTACATTTTTGGGTGGATTCAAAACGTCCTATAAAATTTAAAAGGAGAGCAGACGAAAACTTGAAGAAAGAAAAGGGGGCACTGTTTACAAATGCGGGGCCTGGGTGCCCAATCAACAGCCATGAACACAGAAAACAGCTTTACATAATCTCGCTGTGTTATTTAAAAATAATTACGTTGGCCCTCTTTTGCGAGCTCCATCCACAGCTCCTTTATTGTTATGATTGCAGTCTTGTGGAGATGTGAATACACACAAAGACGACCGTGTACTTCGCCTTTGGGCCTGCTGTACTCGATACAGAAGATTTAGGCACATGCTTGGTCATTATCATCGAGTGGGAGTTTATCTCTAATTGACCCAATACAATTTGAAGCTTTTACCTTTTTCAAATCCTTAACATAGCTTTAATCATGACAATGGTAGGATGCACAGTGATTGTTCTGACCTCATATAAACCTGAGCGCGACACACCCCTCTTTTTGTCCTTTACCAGAAAAAAAAAGGAGTTGAAAAGCGCACTCACTACATACTAGACTTCCAAACAATAGGAAAGTTTCGTACAAATAGGCTATAGACACTAGTGATACAGGCATCGCCGGCTGAACGCGAAGGTAGTTAAAGGATTTGTTATTACAATGCTATTGCTCTTGAAAATATCTGTGACCCGGACATGTTTGTCAAAAGAAAGTTAAACGAGATCTACTTGCCGTATATTCTCGAAAGTGCATTGGGTTACACACATGAAAACTCGATCGCAGTCACCATGTACCACTTTCCTATTAGAGCAAACTCAATCACATGTTAGAGTTTGAATTTGATTAGAGTAATACAGACCATTTTATTTCAAGAGACGCAAATTGCACTAAACTTTGTAAGTCAGCGGAAAAAGGAAAAAAAAACAAAAAAAAAAACATTTGTTTAAATCTAACCAAACATATTCATAGAATATAGGTCTAAAGATATACTTTTTAGATGAAAATACCTCAGCTGATGATCAAATCATCTGTGGGGTTGAATGTTATATTTCTTTTTGTCCGTGTTCTTAAACAAATATCAAGGCCTTATCTCTTGGCCCGCATAAATCTACTTATTTTTCTAGTTTAAAGATATTTCTTAAAATTAAGTTTCTAATTTATATGTCTTATTTCTCTCTTTCTTCACAGATAATTTTATTATGGACACTTCGTTTGCTTGTTTCAAATCTTGTTTGTAACATCTAAGTGTTCACATTCGATTGTATCTATACGCTTGCTAATAAGCAATTTCAAAAGTAGAACCGTTACAAAACAAGTAAAAAAACACTTATTGGTACATGTTATACGACCTACGAAACGAGACATACCTAACATTGTTTTTTCTGAATGTCTGAACGAAACTTGCTTGCTCTTTATAACATTTTGATTTCAAACCGAAAAAGGCACTCGATTCCAACGTTTGTTAAACTACAAGCATGTACTACAAGACAGCCTCGAGCATTTGCCAATTAATTACCAAGTAGATCGGATAGGGTTTATTCCCTTTTTCGAAAGCGCGGAAACTTCGTAGGAAGCAATATATCGAGTGGACTTACCTGCCAAAAATATCAAAACCGCCAAAGCACTTAAAATCCGCATATTGGTACTCTTTCTATCCGTGGTTCTATCCTTGTAAAGTTGTCAGCACTCCTGATGTGTAATCCCACTGGTTACAGGTGCAACGTATCCGGTAATGTATAGCAATCCTTCAATGGCCGAGAAGGTGGTTAGGACACCAGTGGTCTTCGAAACGGTATCCGCAGTGATATGAAGCTGAGTGAACCACCCCGGCAGAACGCCTGTGGTATATCAAAAAGCGAAGGGGGAGTGGATGCGTTGAACTTCCTGGTAGAGAAACGTGATACGCGGCTCTATGAAATGGTTGAGGGACTACCAGTTTACTTGCAATAGCGGCGTTGTGAAAGGGATGTATACAGTGCCGCTATACCAGCAGCGTTTTGGGTCGTCTGCGCTGCCAGGAAGACAAAAGCTTTATTCAGGATTTCATTCCCCGGTCACCTCTCACTTTTCTGTCTGTTCTTCTTCCAAAAGCATGATCAGCTCTATCTCTCCTTCTCTCTTCCTCTCTCCTTTCGTTCACTCGTTCTTCCTCTCTCTGCTTTTTGTTTCCGACACCTTCTATCTTGTGCTAGTCTACAACTGTTTGCCTCTCTTCTCCTCTCTCACCCTCTCACTTCTTCTATTATTTCTCTCCCCTGACATTTCATTTATTTCCCCTTTATCTCTATCTCATTACTTCTCTCCTGCGTTGCACTCATTTTCTCACCCTATCTCTCTCATTTTCTCTCTTTCTCTTCATACTTCTCTTTGACTGTATCTCTTACCCTTCTCTCTTGCTTGTCTCTTCCTGCCCCCGTCTACTAACCGATTTTATTACTCGTCTATTTTCTTTTGTCTCTTCCAACTTACCTCAATCTCTCCTATTTCACTTTTCCAATACCCGTTCGATCATCTTTTCTATTCTCCTCACTTCGTCTCTCCTCTCTCGCTCTTCTCTCCTCTCCCCGTAATATTCTCTTGTATCTTCTCTCAATCGTTTCTTGATTCTTCTCTCATTTTTATGTCTCTCTCTCTTTAACATTTCATACACAGGAAATGGGATGGCGCCCTTTATTATTCAAACCATTCATATGAACCTTAATCCGGAAGTTATACCGGTAGCATCACAATTTGAGGTTGTATTGTTGTTGTTTTAAGGAGGTGAACCAGTTTTATCTCTTGAAGTGAGAAACTACCATTCCTATTTTCTTAAGGCGGGTAATTTTTATAAACATCGTGATCGGGGTAATCTTAATTAATGTATACATAGATAACGATACAAAGTTAACTTCTCGCAAACGCTAAATTAGTGGAGATCCGGAAAAGAACACCCAAATGTACCAAATGGAGGAATGTTACATGTTAGTGGTTTTGTGGAAATGATTGGATTAATAACATTTGGTTAACGAGAAAAAAAAGAAAGGTTTAGGTATGAGCAAATAAGAGTTTAGCTGAAAGCCAATGTTGAATTCCAATGGGAACGAGTATAATTTTATTCGTACACTGCCACAAATAAAATCTGAATTGATAAATAACGATTTTTAAAAAAAAACTTAGGAATTCAATCTAAGTCTATTTCGTATCACTTTTTATGTCTCTTTCTTATGGTGGCCCTGAAGGGACATCGCGAATAGACTAAATCGTGAAAAATATGCGATAAAATTCACGATATCGTCAATTTTATCGCATATTTTTCACGAAGAAATTCACGAAATTGACGATATCGTGAACTTTATCGTGAACTTTTCACGATGAAATTGACGACATCGTGAATTTTATCGTGAAAAGTTCACGATATAAAGTTCACGATATCGTCAATTTTATCGTGTACTCTATCGTGTACTCTATCGTGTACTCTCCTGACGGGCGCTTCGTAAACAAAACCAGCCCTAGCTGGGGGAGACAGAGAGAAGGAAAAAAGGGAAAGGGAAAGAGAAGATAAAAGGAAAGAAAGAATAATAAGAAGAAAAGAGGGAAACGGGGGGGGGGGCGAAGGGCTCTTGCCTCCTCCTCACTCCCCCCCCCCCCCCCGCCAAAAAATAAATAAGGAGAGAGAGAAGGGAAAGGGAAAGGGAAAGAAAATATAAAAGGATAGAAAGAAGAGGAAGAAGGAAAGAGGGAAACAGGGGAAGGGCGAAGGGCTCTTGCCTCCTCCCCCCCCCGCCAAAAATAAATAAGAGAGAGAAGGAAAAGGGAAAGAAAATATAAAAGGAAAGAAAGAAGAGGAATAAGACGGAAAGAGGGAAACGGGGGAAGGGCGAAAGGCTCTTATACCTCCCCCTCCCCCCTCCCGCCATAAAGGGAAAGAGAAGGGAGAGGGAAAGAAAATATAAAAGGAAAGAAAGAAGAGGAAAAAGAATAAGAAAAGAGGGAAACAGGGGCGAAGGGCTCTTGCCTCCTTTCTTTTCTTTCTTTTCCTTTCTTTCCTATTCTCCCTCTTTTTCGTTTTTCTCTTTCTTTCTTCTCTTTCCCTTTCCTTCTCTCTCTCTCTCTCTTATTTATTTTTTGGCGGGGGACGAGGCAAAAGCCCTTTGCCCCCGTTTCCCTCTTTTCTTCTTCTTCCTCTTCTTTCTTTCCTTTTATCTTCTCTTTCCCTTTCCCTTCTCTCTCTCTCTCTGAGTTTGGCGGGGGGGGGGGGGGAGGGGGGGCAAGAGTCCTTCGCCCTTCCCCCGTTTTCCTCTTTTCTTCTTCTTCCTCTTCTTTCTTTCCTTTTATCTTCTCTTTCCCTTTCCCTTTCCCTTCTCTCTCTCTCTCTGATTTATTTTTTGGCGGGGAGGGGGGGGGGGGGGGGAGTGAGGAGGAGGCAAGAGCCCTTCGCCCCCCCCCCCGTTTCCCTCTTTTCTTCTTATTATTCTTTCTTTCCTTTTATCTTCTCTTTCCCTTTCCCTTTTTTCCTTCTCTCTGTCTCCCCCAGCTAGGGCTGGTTTTGTTTACGAAGCGCCCGTCAGGAGAGTACACGATAGAGTACACGATAGAGTACACGATAAAATTGACGATATCGTGAACTTTATATCGTGAACTTTTCACGATAAAGTTCACGATATCGTCAATTTCGTGAATTTCTTCGTGAAAAATATGCGATAATATTGACGATATCGTGAATTTTATCGCATATTTTTCACGATTTAGTCTATTCGCGATGTCCCTTCAGGGCCACCATACTTTCTTACAGTTTGACCTAAAAAGTATAAACTTAAAAAAAAAAAGAGATGGTTCAAATCCTTGGCATGATACAGTTTGTCGTAGAATAGTGCCTACAAACTTTGATAAAAGAGGTACTTCAAGTTTTCGTAAAGGTGTACTTTGCTGACGGAGAGATAAGACGTGTAAGAGGAGAAGGAGAAAGGAGATAGTTCACATTCATCTACTGAAACTTTCCGGAGAATAATAAGGGTGGGCGGTGCACAGTGGGCCAGGGAGGAACCAAAGTGCGCCAAAACTCATGTTTGGGGATTTATTTTGTATAAATCCAGAGGAAATGTTTGGATTTCCAGGGATTTTCGCTTAGATTTTATTACCAACATTTTCTCTGATGTCTAAGCTTTAAGTTGATACCAGATTTGGCTGCCCGATTCTGCCCGCTATTATGTTAGAGCCGTTTTCCTTGCAACGTTGCCCCGAAAATGTGTTTATTTTGGTCCGCGGTGTCAGAACAAGTGTCGTGCGCCCCCTCGCGCCGTGATTTATGACCACGAATCCTTCATGATTCAGCCGCGGACCCCCAAAACCCATATTTTTCGGGGCAATGTGGCATTAAAAATCGGCTCTAACATAACAACGGGCAAGATCGGGCAGCCAAATTTGGTATCAACTTAAAGCTTAGACATCAGAAAAAATGGTGGTATAAAAATTTAAGCAGTACACCGCGGAGATCTAAACATTTCTCCTGGATTTATAAAAAACATGGATAATTAGTCCATTTTCAGTGAATTACCCTATAATATATCATGAAGATTGTGTTTCTATTAATTTTAACCCATTCATTCAACGAAATGAACTATCAGAAATATGTGAGAGTAATTTCATATCAATAACTTAAAAACTTCATGTTGAATTGAAAGAATTATAAAATAAGTCACTTTTGCACTAAAACTGTGAATATGTAGGATTTTGCTGTTTGAAGTAGTAAATTTATACCCTTATTGTGCATTCCGGAATTAAATATTTCACTGAGGTATTCCTCTATGTATTACCTTTCAACTGGGCAAGAAAAAAATTGGAAAAAAAAAATCACCCAAACTTAGTTTTGGCGCATTTTGGTCCCTCCCTGGCCCACTGTGCGGCGGTAGTTATATTACCTGACTGCTAAGAAAAAACAAACAAACATAAATGCTTGCTGGTAAGCAATCATATATAACCATTATTATTAAACCAACGGTAAGAGTATTTTATACAGCCAGCAAGACCGACATGTTGGTCTCACAGGCCTTCTGTAAAATTTTCTGAGAGTTCTACAAGCAAAGCCTAACTTGATTCCACATTGTTAGCTGGAGGGACTTTGACAAAGAACTCCTTCAAAACATGTGCGGCGCTGTGGCTTAGTTGGTAAAGCGCCTGTCTAGTAAACAGGAGATCCCCGGTTCAAATCCGGGCAGTGCCTTTTTATCAATTTGTGGGGTTTTAAGAATCGAACCGTCACGGAAAGTTTCAGTAGATGTATGAGAACGTTCTCTCATCATTCTCTCCTTCAAGAAAGTTCACGTTTACGAAAAACTTGAAATATTTCTTCAAGTTTGGAGGCGTTATTCGAAGACAAACTGCCCGTATCATGCCAAAGTTTTTAACCAGATATTTTTTCTAAAGTTTATGTTTCTTTTAGGTCAGACTGTGATAGGAAAGAGATTGAAAAAGTGATACGAAATAGACTATAGATTGAATTCCTTAGTTCTAAACAAATAATTAAACTTTTTTTTTTTTTACTAATTCAGATTGATATGTGGCATTGTACGAATACAATTGTACTTGTTCTCATTGGAATTCAGCATTGTTTTTTTTTCTAGCTAAACCCTTTTTTGATTATACTATAACCATTGTTTGTTTTATATCGTTAACCAAATTTAAATAATCCAATACATTCCATGAATCCCTTCCTACATGTAACATTAACCCATGCTTTGATTCTTAAAATCCCCTAAATTGATAAAAAGGCACTGCCCGGATTTGAACCGGGGATCTCCTGTTTACTAGAGAGGCGCTTAACCAACTAAGCCACAGCGCCGCACATGCACTTATTGACTTCTTTGTCAAACTCTTTCCAGCTAACAATTATAGAGCCGTGAATAAGGCTTTGCTTGTAGAACTCTCAGAAAAGTTGACAGAAGGCCCGTGAGACCAACATGACGGTCATGTGTGCCGTCGGCGCCACTTACGTTTCAGACAGCACACTCGATTTGCATTGCCGGTCTTGCTGGCTGTAGCAGATACTGTTACCTGCCACATGCACACCTTTGAGGTTGTATTGTTGTTGTTTTATGGAAATGATTGAATTATTTAAATTTTGTTAACGATATAAAACAAAAACATATATATTGTGTGGCCCAATTCTTGAGTAATTTTTTTATTTTAATAATTTTATTTATTTTTTATTTTTTGGCCAAGGGGGGGGGGGGGTATTGGCTACTTCCAGCGAGACCAACAATGCAAATCGAATGTGCCTTCTGAAGCGTTATATTTA